TGATGTGTTACTAAAAACTTTGAGATAAAGCTGTAAAGTAGTTTTATTTACCCTGAACCTTTTTATCAGAGCACAGAAGTTTGGTCTGAGATGGTACGTCTTAACTCCAAGGCCCCTAGTTATTAGGGTCATTTTTCGTCTGCAGTTACTAGGCTCCTGTGCACCTATTTGTTTAGGTGGATTTCTTAACGCCTACCCCATATCCAGTATTTGGAATGACTACGAAAAGAAGCCACATGACAGTAATCGGTGAACAGCGTGGTCTTACTTATCTGACCCAATCCAATCTCAAAAATAGTTTACTACTAAAACTCGAGTTTAAGGATGTAGCCACGCGTACTCAGGAACATTTACACTACATCCATCTTTCCCCTTACAAAGGGGTCGAAAGAATTTCAGAAGTGGCTGAGTGGCTAAGTGGAGCATCTCTTCAAGGGCAAGTACAATATATATGCATGACTGGTATGCTTGCCAAGTAAGTTCCTCGGTTTAGCACTGTGTTCATTAATCACCAAACTGGAAAACCATCATGTTCCTTGGTCATTCCAGCTGCAGTCACCAGTCTCTCAAAAGTACAAGAGAAAAAATCAGCAGAAAAAGTGTTATGTTCCTTTAGCTTTTGAGGCTTCTAGGACGAATGAAGGTCCAACAAAAGGTGAAAGTGTTAGTCAAAATCAGGTGATGAGACCCACCTTCAGATTTACTATGGCCTTCATCTCAAGGAACAACAACTCTGGAGCTTTTGCTAGCCTCTAACTTAAGTGAGATTTGTGCAGGTACCTTGCCTGCAAGGAAATAAAATAAATATTTTGTTCACTAGTCAACTCCAGCACCCTCCTCTACTCCTACGGAGTTGTAAGGAGTAGGGGGGCTTCCCTCTAAATCTTCAGGGTAACAGAGATGCCTATGGACTCCCAACTCTTCTCCCAACCAGTCTCAGGCTGCCAAGTGCTCCAGGGAAGTGGATGCATTGATGGAGAAAGAATACCTTACTTAATACCCTGTATCAAGAGAGATGGCACCAAGAATGGCAACAACGTCACCAGCAGTATCACAGGCACTGGTGCCAAAGCATATGGCACACTCACCCAGAGATGGGAGTGAGCTTGATGCCCTATTCCGCATCAATTAATACAGAGCGTACAGGATTGAAAAGTTGTAAGAACGTGGTGTAAAGCCACAAACCTGGCCCTGCCAAAAGAGAACATGTTCTAGACCAGAGTTTAGCTAGCAGGAATGCTAAAGAAAGAATGATGTCGCATGGAGGACTCAAGCAGTTTGATCCAGGCATTCCAGGGAAAACTACGCATAGGAAATGTCGGTAAATAATCTACACTTTAAGGGAGGCTTCAGTGCCAGTTTCTCCAGTGACCAGTGACCAGTGCTGTAGATTGAGTGTTTGAGACCACACTGAAGCCTTGGCACAACCACTGCTCTTACGTATGGGAACTCACAAATGACTGTTTAAGTGCTGCTATGGAAGTCTTGATTTGTGCCTCTTCTGAAAACAGATGGCTCCGTACAGAGTCTTAACTTCTATCAGGAGCACAGAGCTATGAGGCCATCTTCCATGTTGTCTCCTTTCCCATCTTCAAGACTTACATAACCTGCAACAGGGGAAAAAGTCGGCGCTTTCCCCAGCATCTAACAGATCAACACATCTTCCTAAAGCAAATCTGCTCTAGACTTCTTCTGATCACACTTCAGTCACCTTTTAAAGCAACTGAGCTGCTTTTCATATATTCAGTAAAAAAGAAATACTGACAGAATAAGAAAAATGCAGTGATCCTAAAAGGAAACTGTTTTTTAAAGGTGAAGCACCAAAACTGAAAATCTTTATTTAGAAAGAAACTAATAGACATTCAGAGTTGATTTAGGAAAACTAGGGAAAACCTTCGTTCAGGAAGATTTGGGAGAGAAGGGATGAGAAGTGAGCTCCTGAAAAAAAGACTACAAAAGGTAGCTCCTTCATTGACAGATGCTACAGCAGTTATTGGCTTTTGTGTGTCAGACTAGTCGGGATGGCCCACCCACTGACAAACCAAGCAACCAACTGGGAAGTAAATACTGGATGCTCTGATCCCAGTTATACACAGAGAACACAGACCCAAGAGTTTGGATCTATTATATATTTGCCTTTAGAGAAAGATTAGTTGACCAGTATACAACAGCAAATTTTTTCTTAAAACTAGTCAAGTAGCTCAGACTCATTTTTATTCCCAGTTTATTTTAGTCTCAGTTCAATGAAAGAAGCTCACTATTAACCCTGGTGTTTTATTATTTTATTCTTTTTAATAAAAATATTTCACTTAGACATATCTTTCAGAAACAGAATTGTTTACTACAGACATTCCACACTGCTAGTGTAACTTCTCACAATTTGTGCAAATGCCATCAAAAACTAAAATACAATATTCACTTTACAATTTTAGTAACAGAATATATGCATATATTGTACACAGTCATACATTCAGTAAGAGTTAGCCTCTAAGAGTTGTCATTAAACAGAAACTTATTTAGAACAAAGACAAGCAGATAAAAATGCTGAAGTTTAAATACACTTCCAAAAGCAAAATTCACCTTCCATGGCATCTGCTGACTTTCACTATTCTCTCTTGATGCCGCATTCCACTTATATTCCACCTTAGTTTTTCAATATTTTAAAATATTGGTTGAAAAGGAAATATTTGAGTAAATTTGCCATATACCATACATAGAGATATGCATTTATTAACATTGAACACACACACACTTTCTTGTGCATTTCATTAAGTTATACTAAAAAAGCAAAGTGGAGAAAATATATTCTGAACGATCAGGAAAATAAAACGTTCAACGGTACATTCTGTTCTTCAGCAACAAATGGAGGCAATTCTGCTGAGGTTCTTCTCCTTAGGGCTCAGTGTAGAAGACTGTTTGACGAACACTCCCCAGTATTAAAGAACATGGAAGATGACTATTACAGAGCCGATCCTTTCAGGAATTACATTTTTTGGGGTCTACTAGTAACCTGCATAAATATTCCATCTCTCCAGGGTGACTGGATTTCCTCTCCAAAAAGCAGCACAGCTAGCCAAGTGGAAGTGCAATTTTACACTTTTAACCAATTCACCATGGGACTGAACAAGACCAGTTTAATAGCTTGCCCTATTTCAATATAACCCATAATTACTTTATGTAAAGAGAAGACTACTTCCTTACCCTCAGAGCATGTACAAAAGGCCAGGCCTAAAGGAATAATGGGATTAAGACAAGTACAGCCATGAAAAGGAGCTACATACCTTTTCGGGGACCATGCTAGATGTGAGCACCTCTAAGGCATCTTTCCTATGGGGTTGAGGCCCAAGGCAAAAATTCTAGAAACTAAGAAAGACTAAATGCATTTGAAGCACTGCCTAAAAGGATATATCCCAATCTTCTCACCAAGTTTTGTTACCCATTCAATCCAATTTGGGCATTCCACACAAGATCCCCTAGAATCAGAAGAACATTTTGGCTTATGAACTTAGAAATGGACACTATCCTGAACTCTCACCTGATCCAGGATACGGTTGATGGACTGAAGTTGTTTGGGGAAGCCCTGGACACTGCCAATAGGAAGCTTCAGACCAAATGGAACTGCAGCTGCCAAAGTACAAGACAGAAGCAGCTTCAACCCAATTTTCCTACACTTCTGATTTCAACCATTCCAAGCAGCAGAGTCTAATAGTTGAAATAGCAGGTGCAAAACTTTGGTGCTGAATAATATTACTCCCTGTTCCTGTATCCATCTGTTTTCACCATCTTGGCAACCTTCTAATTAGGATCTCCTTGACCCACAGGGCTTCGAGGAATATGCTTTGGATTCCATTCTAAACCCATGAGGATTAGGATTAAAGTGGAACATCATGACTAGGAAACAATACAGGTCTGGGAAATAACCTGAACCTACATCCAAGAGCTTCCATCTGACAAGTTCTGCTGCTCTCCCGTCTGCCAGTGTCTTTTAAGGATACAATAAAGTAGGAGTTACTGCACTCAGACCATCCTTCTGTGTAGTACCAAAGGAACAAATACACATCAGTAGATTCCTGCCAATTCCATGAGGTCTGTTTCTATAACATGGTTGCTGTTCAAACTATGGGGGAAACTGACAGAGCCCAGTGTTAATAGGATCACTGCGGAGGCCAAGCAATGGGACAAGGGGACCAACATGAGGATTGTATCTTACCAGGATCAGAGGCTGAGTCCACACCACACCCCTTCACCACCCTCCCCCCACCTCAAAAAAACAAACAAACAGCTGGTCAGATCTTAAATTCATTCCTCTGTATAGGGTCCTACAAACAGACCACACCACCTGGTCTGTGCAGTATCCTAATAGCATCTAGAGATTATAAAGATTTAGGCAAAGTCGTTGCACACAGTCAAGTGTACTTGCAGCACTAAAAATTTCCAGAGGCCAGAATAGTTTGTCTTTATGAATCTAGATTCTTGAAAGCTATTTGCTGGTTCAATCTACCCATCAAATGCTTTGTGGCGATTCCGAACTAAGCCCCTAGCTCTAAACTCAATCTCCCTTTGAAACTTTAAAAAATATTTTTATAATTTTGGAGCAACTGAAATACTAGCCTGAAGTGACAATACATGAGTCACAGGGTCTTTTACCCTAAACCCAAACTTTTTTTCTTCACTATGCCCCAAACAGAGAAATCATAGGCAAGTTCAGATGCTTTCTGCTGGTTAGAAGATAGCAATCAAGTACTGCTCTCGGCAAGAAGGCTGTCATTGCCTGCTTACTAAGCAGTATTTCTCAAAGACGTCACATTAGTTCTGTGCTTCATGAGATTCACCAGAAGACAAATTAAGAGAATGAAGTTTAAGGTGTTGTGGTTTTGACCTTCAAAGTCTCAAAATGGTTTGTGTTTTGGCTATTTGAGGGACTGCTTCACCCCCTCTCCAGTTATCTGAGGTGTCTAAGGTAGCAGACCTTAGGAGAAGATTTTCATTGAAGTTTCCTCAAGCTATGGAAGTCTCACAAACCCTGATCTGTCAGAGCCTTGATTTCATACTGCAGGAGGTTGTACAAAACATTTACTTTTCCAAAGATGGTGGTGGCACAGAGAGGGACAACTGGGTTATTTTGTTTGTGTATGGGGCGGGAGAGGAGAGGAGAAGAAGGAGAATGGAAAAGAATAGGATTGAGTCCATTCCAAAATTGGGCAGGTCATCTTGTCTTTTTGACATGTTTGATAACTGCCATTTGGAAGTCTGTATGCATCTAAAAATTAATGATACATGCAATGTATAAATCTAAAACATGAGGACCCAAATTCTCTTTCCATTCAATAAAGAGTTAAAAAAGGTTAAACAATTACCAAGACTACCGTTGAAAGATGAACAAGATTGGCTATTGTGGAGGCTTGCAAGACAGAAGCATAATGAACAGTATTTTTCCAGTGGATATTAAGTGTGTCCCCAACTTGTTCTGCACAACTTCATGGGCAGAAAGAAGCTAAGCAATCTGAATCAGTAAGGTTGCAACTTGCATTTCTCTGCCCTCTTTCACTGGACTTTACAAGTGCAGGTCTATTTTTGCATTCTGGGTTCTGGAAGCTACTGTTTAATTGTACATTTTACAGTGCTATATAAATATATAAGAAGTAATGTTTCCCTACCTTAAAGAATTTACAATCTAAGAGATATAAATGGATATTAAAACAGTACCATAAATGAGTATGGTGCGTAAAACACATTCCTGACCATCAAGAGTTCACATTCTACGATAAGTCAACTTGATATCTCATGATTAGAAAAATGATGGCAAAAGGACGCACATGAATAACAGCAGTACAACTGTGTGATTGTTTCGGTCGGTAACACAAGAATTGGACACTGAGAATTATTTTTTCCAAACTGTTCATTCATGCCTGATACCATTTCTTGGAAGAGAAGAATGGGTTTTGTAGGCTTCATTTCTGTTCAGACAAAGGAGAGTCTGCAGAGATTACTGGAGGAGAAGGTGGTAAGCATTCTTGAAAGCAGTGGGATTGGTGGGTAGGGAACCTGTCCCTTTCTTTTAGATAGCCTGAACATTTTACAGTTTTACTTTTAGAAACACTGTTTGTATTATTATGGTGCCATCTAGCCTTCTATATGTAAAAAAAATCAGCAAAGGTGACAGTAGTCCTGAGGGGTGGGCCTCCTTACTAGCAATTGATGGACATTTGTAAGTTATAAAAATTTACAGGCAGAAAGATTGCTATATTTGCACATCACAAAAACTGTGTACAAAACAAATTCAACCTCATTTATTATATTTGTATTACAGTGGCACCTAGAGGTCTGACCCCAGATTTAGCACCATTGTGCCAGGTACTGTACAGACACAGTGAGAAACCGTCCCTGCCCTGAAGAGCTTACAATCTAAACGGAAGAGACAGACAAAAGGCAAATAGATTAAATGGTTTTCGCAAAGTCGCAGACCACATCAGTGGCAGAAATAATAATAGAATCCAAGTATCCTGATTCCCAGTCCAGTGCCCTATCCACTAGAACACAGTCTCCCCAAGAGAAACCTGCAAATGCTTTCGGGTGTTCTTACATAAACTACTTAATGCTCCCCTATGCAGCAATAATCCATACAAGAAAGTGGAAATTCATCATGGATCTTCCCCTTTCAGAAAGGGGAAGTTTACTGCAGTTTACTACAAACTGTGTTGGCTTTTATAACATACGGAGATATATCTATCTCATAGAACTGGAAGGGACCCCGAAAGGTCATTGAGTCCAGCCCCCTGCCTTCATTAGCATGACCAAGTACTGATTTTGCCCCAGATCCTTAAGTGACCTCCTCAAGGACTGAACTCACAACCCTGGGTTTAACAGGCCATTGCTCAAACCACTGAGCTATCCCTCCTCCCGGTTTGGAGAATACTGCAGAAACATGCCCAACTGACCTCATCCCTCCCAACTAATTTCACAAAGCTAGAACCAAAGGAGTGTTGGAAACAAAGGCAGTACAGTGCAAAGACAGAACCTCCCGCTCTGGCACTCTTGATCCTGTGCAAGATCTCTGAAGGCAGATTCACCTTCACATGTGGGTACAGAGGGAAGTTTGGGGTCCTGAGATATATAGGACCAGACAAACTGGCATTCTTGAATAAAGTAAAATGTCCTGATGGTGCCATTTAGTAAAAAGTGAAATAAAATTATTCCCAGTCTCCAGTAAACATATCAGTTTATTTCTACGCCGAACCTTGTTCTTGTTTGTTTTCCGGGGTTCCATTTCACCAAAGGATTTGTCCAAGCAAATTTTCAGGTGATGCTATCTCAAAAATAGAGTTTATTTGACCCACCATGATTTTGCTGGACAAACTAGGGGGCTACTGTTCCTTCCATTGTAAGAACTTTTGAGCAAGGTCAATTCTTTGTGCTTTTCTTGCAATGCTAGACTTGGAACAAGTCCAGGGAAAATCAAAGATTACTTCTTTCACAGTCAGCGTTTTGGACTCACAGTGTGTTTGCAGTTGATGAGCACCATTGACTGTGTTAAGAACAAATGTTAAAATATGACAAAAGTTGTGCTGGGAAGAAGCACAGCGAACAATACTCCCGTCTGTCCCCAAAATTGGGTCACTTTACATGCAAAGTAAAACCAACTGTACAGTCAGCCAATCGAAAGGAAAGATTGTTTCACAGCAATTAAAAGGAAAGCAATCAGAATTCATTTTAAACAAACCTTGCCAACAGGAACATTCTTAACATCTTCTACAAACACGACTTCCCTAAGAGACCACTGCTCTTCATTCACTTTCTCTTCTTCTTTTGGAGCAGGAGTAGACCGTCGTCGTTCTTAAACGACAACAAAATAATAAGTACCAAAAACCCCAAACTTGAAACATTTCATCGAGATCTTACTTTATGCCTAACACTCACACTTTGCAAAAGCGTACCATTATTCAAATCAAAATTTAAATCAGAAGTAAAATTTAGTTTGAGTCAAACACTGTCTGAAGTCAGAGTAGCATGACAGAATTTCTCAATGCCACATAAATTTTTTGCTAATAAATCTGTACCAAACAGTAAAGCTGTTCCATATCAACAAAAAGAAACTAAAAAAAGTCTATTAAAGCTATGACTTCCTTAGTCATGTTAATTCATTCCTAGGCATGTTTGTTTATTCCATATGTTAAAGATTCCGAGTATTAAGGTACCAAAAAACTGTTCTTGTAATGATACAGTAACTATGAAAAAGGACCTAAAAAGCTGAAGTTAGCATAAGATCCTTAATTCAGACATGTTAAATATGCTGCATTATTTATTACAGCCTTGCAAAATTCTGCCAACTAGCCCAGGCCAATATTTGACAGATGAATAAAACAGTATTACCCATTTTGGACCTGGGTTGCAATGTATTCATGGCAGTCATATTTTTGTATTAAAGATCAACATCTGAAGAGCAAGTGTTAAGATTCACGTTTGTATTCTTGTTAGTAGTGTAACATGGCTGAGTTAACATTAGTATGAAGCCTTTTGCTTCCTTAATTATAAGAGTTCATATTAACATATGATTTCGTATTTTTTTAAATAAAGAAACAGGAAAAAGATTTATAAACTCCACACATTTATAGCCCTGCACTTATAGCTTTAAAATTCCACACAAACATATAAGCACAGGCTGAAAACATGGGGTCTTTTAATAGCTGGAACATAACTATGTAAACACTGAAAGATTAAACAGACAGTTGTGGCCTGAAGTCTTTTAAGTCAAAAAACAGTTGCTGCATTCAAAACTGATCTATAAAACAGTTTTCTATTTTGAAAGCTTTCTATTTAGATACTGACTGTAACAAAATTAGTATTGTAGGTCTGAACCTAAAGTTCTCTAATCTAGGTAGTTATGTGACCCTTCAGTACACTCTGGTATGTGTATAACTGGAGGGACAGGGGTCAAAATGAGGAAGTTGTTGAAATTATAGTATCCGAATAAGAATAGCTATACTGATTAAAAGTCACAAAGGTGGTGTGGTAGGGACAAGTGCTTTGAGTTTTTAATGTGGCATATTTGGTATTCTGAGAACTGCTGATGCAATTAAACAGTTTTACAGCATATGTGCAATACTGAACTTCTAAATTTTTAAAACTATTACTTTGTGTATATGCACATAAGAGTGTAAGAAGGTCCTCAGAGGAAGACTAACCAATTGGAAGCATGCCCTCGGTAAGATGCCTGAGCAAAATACACAGAAATGTCTTAAAATAATCTGGAAGTGCATAAGGTATATTTCTGCCACCCTTGCACACTTCAAAAACTGAAGAATGGATTTTACTCAATTTTTCAAAACCAGCTCAACTCTAGGTTGAAACCGAGCATGGAAAATTTCATTCCAGGAAGTTCTAAACGTAAGAAAATGGTTATAATGGAAGACTCTGTATAACTAACTACAGTGTTTCTACCAAGCATCATATAGTTATTGGCTTTTGTATAAATCTACAACAAGCTTCATGACTGAAATTTACTATATTTAACTTTAAGATACCAGCACTAAATGCCCACTGTTTATTTTAATAAATTCTACATTAGAAGAACACTGGCAGATCTGAACTTTCAGCATCAGTGGATTAAAAAATGTTTTCAAAGTAGTCTTTAAGTGAACTGCAGTTAGGATAGAAGAGCCAGAATGCATTTTGCCAGTCAGAAAGTTACATTTTCAAAGATTTCTGTTAACTACACTATTCATAAGACATCTCCCATTTACTGATTTTAAATTACTTGTCAAGAGCACTCTTCAATGCTAGAGATAAATAAAACCAAATATACATCGTGATAGATTTAGTGTAACTGTGATAAATACAAATGCTCTGCGGGTTACACAAACCTGACTTACGAAAATCCACACTTACGGAAAAAGTTCCGTAAGCTTTTCTTTTTTTTTGGGGGGGGGGGGTAATTGTCGGGTATACGTTCCCGACCTATGCAAAATTCAACTTAAGCAAGGCATCTGTAACAGTTATATAGACACTGCACTATTAAAGTAAAACTTACTGTATGGCATTGATGCGCTGCTTGCAATTGAAGATGCATCACTACAGGTAGAAGCTGGGGATGGTGGTGGACCCATTTCAGTTTTCACTGGTTCCTGTTTGCTTTCAGGCCTAGGATTTAAGAATTTAATTATATTTATAAAAAAACCATTAACAGAATGAAAAGTCTATTTCAAGGTTTGGACAAACAGTTTCTTGGGCTTGTTTTGCTGAACAAAAAACTATTCTAGCCAAGCATTTCACACAGTAATTTGTGTAAGAGCTAAAAATACTTTTCTTTTTGCGAACACTTAAACAGATTTCTTAATTTAGAATGAAACAGTAAAAACCCTAATATAAATCTATATTTCTATGCTTTTAACATATCCCATTATAGAGCTACTAGGATAAAGTTATAATGTCTAGATGATGCTATGTTCCTTACGCAGGGTCTAGCTGTAAAATTGTTCTCAATGGAGAGTTGAAATCCCACATTTTGGAAGGTTAAAACATCCCCAAATGTGAACTAATTTGGGAGGATAGGGTGGGAAGAAGAGAAAGGTGTTTATTTATTAAAGTGTTTTATAACTCAAAATAGTTTGACAGTTTTCTTACAATTTAACAAAAACAGTTTGCTTTTAAGAGTAAGTGAAAATTTTCAGGCCAAACCAGTCTTTTCAAGTCAGAGTTATCCAAGGGCTATCAGGACTTTTTAACGGAAGCTGGATGTAACCCTAACATAGCTTTTCACAATATAATTAGTACCAAGACTGAAGCAATTTCCAGCTTACTAAAATACATAATTGTTCAAGTAAAATTTTACTACCACTATGAAACAACACAGTAGACAAAAGAGTCTCAGTCTTCACATAACACTCCTGTTGCTTAAATATCCATAGTTTCAAACACTTGTAGCAACATCTTGATTGCAGTTAAAATGTATGCACATTTAGGCAATTTGAAAATGCAGGCTTTACCAATAAATCTGAGTCTCACTCTAAGATGGAATAATAAAAAACACTCCAGATTTCGCTCAACCCCATACTCCTTAGCTGAGGTCTGACCACTTCCAAGTATTTTCCTTTATATTTTGGCATCACCAATTCAAAGCTCTCAAGTGAAATATTCAACAACCTATCTAATTGATAAAGTAACTGAATCACCCCTTTGGGATTGTTTTTTCCTTCCCGCTCAATTGTGTGATGTCAAGTTATAACAAGATGTTATAAGCTAGCGACCATGTTCTGTTAAAAATATCAATAATTTACCTAATTAAAAATCTCCTACTATAATATACAGTACATAAGAGCATCATTTATTGCTTTGCCAAGCAATACCACCAGCTGGAAATGATATTCAGCCAAAAGCAAATAAAAGCTAAAGCAATAAATATGGTCAAATGTATTAAACAATCATATATAATACATCAATTTAGTAACAGAAACTAAAAGCAATACCATCAAGTCAACTACCACCTCTCAAAACAGAGCATCAGCAAGACATTTTTCTTTTAAATTGTGTTAACTTGCTATTTGCGATCCAAAATTATATAATAAGTCTATGCAGATGTATGTACTTTTAATTGTAACAGATATGGTGCAATTTCAGTCCCTCACCAATAATGATTAAAAGATATTATTCCTATTTGGGAAAGTAAATGTATTTCAAAAAAATAAGGGGTCCCCCTGCAAAAAAGTGGACTAATGCCCTCTGGAAACTATGAGGACTTTACCTTGAATGTTCTTGCTTATTTTACTGCTGTGATTTTTCAACCTTTTTTCATTTGCAGACCCCTACAAAAGTTTCAAATGGAGGAGTGAACCCCTTTGGAAATCTTAAGCGTAGTCTGCGGACAACAGGTTGAAAACCACCGTTTTACTGAATTTCCCTAGAGATTACCTTCACTCTTTACATCTGAGCTATACTAGCAATCACTCTGAGGAGGAAATGACAGTTAAAAGCAGGAGGAGGATATGGGAAAGAGGAATGGTAGTGGAAACAGCTGACCTGAACAGCATTAGGACAAAGGAAAAAGTAGTGGCCAATGCTGTGAGGAGCGGCCAGGGGAGCAGTGACATCTGGCATGTTATCAGTTGATCTATCCAGGAGGAAGTAATGGCTGAGCTGGTCATTTGATAGGTACCATAGGGAGAAATGGCCTTAAATTTTTATTTGAAAGTTATTTAGACAAGGGTGGATTTCTGGTTGTTAGTGGACATTAGGTTAACTACCTATTAGATGTCAACTTTCCAGAAAAGGGTCTGATTAAGAACCGAAGAAACACCCAAACAATTTAGCAACTACAAACTTCTACAATAAATGCGCTAAGGCAAGCTCAAAACCTTATCAAAAATGATAAGTCCGTTAATTTTTGGAAGTTTTCAAATAAGTACTATGAAGTTAAAAAAATGTATTAATGTATTGATTTTCAAGGTGAGCAGGGTAAAGAGAAGAGATGAGCACAGTCAAGTGACCCAATAGGTAAATAGGCCGCTCTCTTCCTCTCTCTAATTCCAGAACAAAATTTACTGGCTGAACTAGACTGAAGCATAAATATGGTGTTCAGTAACCCTATGGTCTCTTAGTCAGACCGCCTGACATTAACAACTCAGTTATCCCAACAGTCTGTTTTCCCTCTCACATCAAGCAATCCTACTGATACTAGAGAACACTGGAATCACCAATAACGCCCCTATGAAAGTCTCTTATTTTTTTTAATAATAGTTTTTTTTAATGGTTTAGTAGTTTCAACAAGTAGCACTGTCATGTCTGTTTGCTTGCCTGCCTACCCTGATCCCTATCACTGATAATTCCTCCTTTAGATTCAGTTATCCTGAGATTCTTCACAAGACAGTCTTCTTTCTCATATGCTGCTATGTTTCTAACACCATCTATTTAATGTTAAAGAATACACTAGAACCGGAGTTACAAATACCAGAGTTACGAACTGACCAGTCAACCACACACCTAATTTGGAACCAGAAGTACACAATCAGGCATCAGCAGAGACTGAAAAAAAAGCAAATACAGTACAGTACTGTGTTAAACGTAAACTACTAAAAAATTGAAGGGAAAGCAGCCTTTTTCTTCTGCATAGTAAAGCTTCAAAGCTGTATTAAATCAATGTTCAATTGTAAACTTTTGAAAGAATAACGTTTATTTAGAGTTAGGAACATTTCAGGAGTTACAAACAACCTTCATTCCCGAGGTGTTCATAACGTGGAGGTTCTACTATGTAAGTGGTTTGTGTCACTCACTCATTACCCCTAAAATAATCCATTTTACTGAATAGTTATTTGCCAGGTAATCTCCATCAGTGACGTTAGGAAAGATCTCACAGCAGCAGCAGCCTGCAGAAACTATGAGGATTTTGTTTAATTTCATCAGAGTCTGGCAGAAACTTCATACAAGTTTGATGCAAACTCATGATTGCCAGTATCAATTAATCGGTATCTCAATTAATACTACACCAAACTAGTAAATTTTCACTCCAAAAATACATTCAGATTCTTTTTAGTGCACTTACTTTGCCTCAGTAGTTTTGCTAGCTTTCTCCATGTTTTTCAAGCTCTCTGGTGATCGAAGCTGGAACCTACAGCTATCATTCATATTCCAAACAGATTCCATTAAGACACCCACTTTAGGAATTCCAGCGCTAATTGAAAAAGCCACAGCTCCAGCATGATAAAGGGGATTATTTCTCAGGCACACCTACAGACAAGAGTTAGAAATAGATGAATATTTCTATGTAAGATCAGACAAAGAATGATATTGATTCAGATAAGAGTACAAGCAAACACTGAACATACATATATCTCTGTGAAAGTGTCTCATTTCCTCAGCAATTAGAAAGGGAAAACTTTAGGGGAGGAGTGGACACAATAGGTGCAGATGCAACCAGCAGTTGCTAGCTGCAAAATGGCCATTTCAAATATGACTTTACCAAGTAACTATAACCTTAAAGGGCCAGCCTCAGAAAAGAATGCTAGGAAAAAAATGTTCCTAGAAGAGTGCCACCCTCCCCTGGGGAGTCAATAAGGACCAAGCAGCAGCTCCTTGGAAAGAGGCTGTTCTGGCTGTGTGACTAGCACAGTTATCATAATCACACAGCACGTGATGCTGAGAGTCTTAGGTTGTTTTCAGACCTTTTCAGGCCCCAATCTGGCAAATGCTTATATGAGTAAACTAAGCATTTGCTAGATCAGAGCCTAATACTGAATGACTTATAAAGCAGTATTCTCAGTAGAGTACATCAAGTGTTTAGTCCTACAGCCCATAATACGTTCTTTACTACTTTTTAAAGCAATCCAAATTGAATTATGGACAAATAGCTACCCCTGGGGCAAAGCTCATGTACATAAATTTTAAAGAAATAAAACAGTTGTAGATTAAGCTACCTCATCTGTATTGTTTGTTCTATACTCCTAGTGAATTTGTAGAGTGCAATTAGTTAAAATTCAAAACACAAAAAAAATGCATGGTGACAGGTTTCAGAGTGGTAGCCATGTTAGTGTTCTTCAAGATGCATTACTCATGTCCATTCTATTCTAGGTGCGTGCGCGCCCATGTGCACAGTCAGATTTTTTCCACAGGGTCAGCTGCGGCGCGCACTTGAGTGCTGCGCTCATGCGCCAGTATATTCGGTGCTGACGACCCTACGCCCTCTCAGTTACTTCTTGCCAGCAACTCTGCCACAGGGGCAGGAGGGCGGGTAACGAAATGGACATGAGCAACACATCTTGAAGAACAGCAGTTATGAAAAGTAGGTAACCATTTTTCTTCGAGTGCTTGCTCATGTCAATTCCATTCTAGGGGGACACACAAGCAGTATCCTTGGAGGTGAGCACGGAGTTCACAGACTTGCGGCTTGCAACATTGCTCCACCGAAACCAGCATTGCCCCAGGCCAGCTGGGTAAGTGTGTAATGGAACGTTAACGTGTGGATGGACGACCAGATGGCCACCTGACAGATGTCCTGGATAGGCACTTGGGCTAGGAAAGCTGCCAAAGAGGCTTGCGCTCTGGTTGAATGGGCGGTCACGATTGCCGGAGGCATCCTTGCCTGATCGTAGTAGCAGCAAATGCAGGCAGTGAACCAAGAAGAAATTCTTTGAGCAGGCTCTAGACAACCTTCCATCCTGTCGGCCACCATGACGAACAATTGCGCCAATTTGCGGAACAGCTTAGTCCTTTCAATGTAGAAGGCTAGCGCCATCCTGACATCTAGGGAATGCAACCTACACTCCTCCTCCTGACTTATGCTGCTTTGGAAAAAAAGCAGGTAAGTAAATGTTCTGGCCTGTATGAAACTGAGACCACCTCAGGCAGGAAAGCAGGGTGTGGCTGCAGCTGGACCTTATCTTTGTAAAACCCATATAGGGCGGTTCTGAGGTAAGAGCCCTAATCTCAGAGACCAGGCAGGCAGATGTTACTGCAACCAACAACGTGACTTTCCAGAAAAGAAGAGGAGAGAGCAGGAAGCCAGAGGCTCGAAGGGGGCTCCCATGAGCCACAACAGCACATGATTCAGGTCCCACAGAGGGACCGAGTCCCTGACGTGCAGGTAGAGGTGCTCGAGGCCCTTGAGGAACCTGGTAGTCATGTCCTGCGTGAAAACTGACCTACCCTCGAGGGGCGGATGGAAGGCTGAGAGAGCAGCTAAGTGGACCTTGATAGTTGAAAGGGACAGGCCTTGGAACTTGAGATAAATTAAAAAAAAAAAAAATGGAGATATCCCATCTCCTAGAACTGGAAGGGTCCTTCACTAGCAGGACCAAGTACTGATTTTGCCCCAGATCCCTAAGTGGCCCCCTCAAGGATTGAACTCACAACCCTAGGTTTAGCAGGCCAATGCTCAAACCACTGAGCTATCCCTCCCCCCAAAATGCAAAAGGTAGTCCAGGATCAATTGCAGCGAGGCCCACTTGTGTTACCCAAGGTCTAACAAGTGAACTGCTTTCATTTGGCCAGGTAGGTCGCTCTGGTGGAGGGCTTTCTGCTGCCCAACAGGAACTGCTGGACACCAGCCAATCACTTCTGCTCCTCTGCATTTAACCATGCAGCAGCCAAGACGTAAGGTGCAGCGTTGCCAGGTTCGGATGCAGAAGACTGCCATGGTTTTGACACAGCAGATCCAACCGGAGCGGTAGCTTTAACTGAGCAGCCACCAAGAAGTCCAGTAGCATGCCAAACCAGTGTTGGTGCTACGAGGATTACTTTCGCCCTGTCCTAACTGATCTTCATGAGGACTCTGTGGATCAATGGAACTAGGGGGAAGGTGTACATTAGAGCCACCTCAACCACGGGCACAGGAAAGTGTCTGACAGGAAGCCTCTGTCGAGCCCCCAAAAGGAGCAGAAAATGTGGAATTTCCTATTGTGCCTGGACGCAAACAGATCCACCTGGGGAGTACTCCACCTTTGGAAGATGATGCTGACTACCTCTGGATGGAAAGGCCACACATGGCGAGACTAGAAGGTCCTGCTGAGGCGATCTGCCAAGGCATTCCTGGCCCCAGTGTGGTGTGCGGCTATGAGATGGATGTCATGTTGTACACAAGTCCCATAGCCTGAGGGCTTCCTGGCAAAGGGTAGATGAACTGGCTCCATCTTACTTATTGATATAGAACATAGCTGCTGCATTGTCCATCAGGACCTGGACCACCCTGCTCTTTAAGTGAGGTAGGAAGGCATGGCAGGCCAAGCAGACTGCTCTGAGTTCCCTGACATTGATGTGTAGGGAACGATCAAGATGGGACCAATGACCTTGCGTCCTGAGATTGCCCAGGTGGGCTCCCCATCTCAGGTCCGAAGCATCAGAGACGAGGGTAACCAACAGAGAGGGCCATGAACGGAACTCCCTCCAACGCCGATGCAGAATTTTTCCACCATGCACGTGATAACAGGATGTATTCCAGGAACTTGACCACATGGTCTGTGCTGTCTCTGTTGGGAACACAGACTGAAGGCAGCCACGCCTGTAGCGGCCTGAGGTGGAGCCGTGCATGTCGGATCATGCAAGTACAGGCTACCATGTGGCCCAACAACTGCAGGCACACATGAACGGCGGTGAGAAGGTAGGCTTACACACACAAGATCAGGTCCGCCATGATCTGGAACCAGGTCTGAGGGAAGAAGGCCCTGGCCTGAATAGAGTTGAGGACTGCTCTGATGAACTCTAATCTGTGTGCTGGAACTAAGGTTGACTTTTTCTCATTTACTAACCACCGCAGGTCGTGATTGGTGGAGCAAACCATATCGAGAGGACACTGCACCTGATTCCTGGGATCAGCCCTTTATTAATTAACCAGTCGTCGAGGTATGGATAAATTTGCACACCTCAGTGCCTCAGGTAAGTAGCCACTGGCACTATTCACTTTGTAACACCCTTGGGGCTGACGAGAGACTGAAGGGCAGTGCGTGAATTGAAAATGGCGGTGGTCCAACACAAAACGGAGGAAACGCCTGTGCCCCGGGAAAATGGAAATATGAAAATACACATCCTTTAAGTCAAAGGCAGCGTACCAATCTCCCGGATCCTCAAAATGCCTGCTTCTGGCTTCTTTGGCCTCTGAAAGAACCAGCCTGGGAAGAGGAATGGGAAAACGAAGGGTGCAGCCACTTAAACCATTTGTCTCTGTCCTTCTTCCTATAGGAGCTGGACTGGGGGACATCCCAAGACCTCATCGGAGGAGGCGGGAGATGTAACAGCTTTCTAACCTACTGAGAGGTTTCCAGGCCCAAGGAACAGAGGGTGGCACAGGAGTCTTTAAGGCCGTGGAGCTGTGCCTCAGTCAACTCCAAGAAGAGCCCTGCTCCCTCAAACAGGAGGTCCTGAAGGGTAGTCTGCATCTCCTGGGACAGGCCAGAGGATTGCAACCAGGAGCTGCAGCTCATGACCACCATAGAGGTAACTACCCTGGCCACCAACTCCGTAGTATCCCAGACCATCTGGAGAGCGTTTCTCGCCACCACCAAGGTGGCAAACTCCTGTGGAAGGCCCTCCTTGAACTTGCTGATGGAGACCCACAGTTTGATATTGTACCTGCCTAGCAGGGCCCGATTGTTAGACATCCAAAATTGCAGGCTGGCTGTTGAATACATTTTCCTGCCAAATAGGTTCAGCCTCCTGGCATCTTTATTTTCCTGTGTGCCGCTCGCTTGGCCCTTTTGTTGATGGTGGACACAACCAGGGACCGCGCTGGAAAGTGGGTATACAAGTATTTGCCGGGACATAGCACTTCTTTTCCGCCTTCTCAGAGGAAGGTGGAACGGAAGAGGGGGGTCTCCACAAAGACGTAACAATTTTCAGGACCCCTGGGTGGACGGGCAAAGGGACCCGGGCCGGGGTGGAGAAGAGTATGACATTAAAGAGGTCATCAGACTCCTCCTCTAGCTCCTTGACCTCCAAGTTCAGGTTGACCTCCAAGTCATCGGGTGGGCTGCTCGTTTTGCAAGGGGCCTGTCACCTTCATCTGGAGATGACGAAGACAACTGCATCACGGGGGAAGAGCGGCATCCCTTTGCTCATCTGGGGACAGCTCCTTGGGCATCAGGGCTTGCTGTGTCGCCCCCACATTGGATTCGTCACTGTGCTCTGACTCCAGAGCCAGCTGTGCCAAAAGCAGTTTGTCTGAAGTGGCCTGGGAGGAACAGTGGGAGTACGAGACCAGCATAACAGGTACACCTCACGGGTTCCAATACTGACAATGAGCAGGCCACTGCCCCTGCCTCCATGCCGCTGCCGCAGGAGGCGCACCGATGGCGATTAGCCTTTTATCAGTGAGGAGCTGAACTCCCCTTCCGACTTGGACCATTGCCTTCCCGGTGACCAGGGTGGAGCTGTAGATGCCTGAGCCTGCAGACAGACCCTCTTTGGCGACCAGTAAGGAGAGGATGAGGATCTGTGCCTATTGTAATTATGCAAAGTGTGGGCCATTAATGGTGGTTTGGAATCTTGATGGCTCCCATCAACCAGAACAATTGACTGTGGATGGCTCTGTTTGCAGGCAGGCCTTCCTGTGAGTCAGGCTGGAAGGAATGAAGGCTTGGGGTCTTACAGTGACATGTGATCATGTCACCTGAGCTGGAATCCATCTTTAACCTGGTGTTTTTCCATTGAGAAGGAGGGGTGAGAACCCAGAGGTACAAAGGATTCCCACCTTATGCAAAAGTTATACAAGTGGGTGGAACAGAACAAAGGGGTCAGCCATCAAGAGAAATCCCCTAGCTACCACCTGAGCTGGAACAAGGGCTGTACCAGGGGAAAGGATTGTGCCCAGGACTAGGAAGGCATCCAGTCTGTGAAATAAACTTACTGAAACATCTCTGAGGGTGACATTTTATCTGTATACAGTTTTATTACTATACTAGTCTTAGACTTGCATGTTTTATTTTATTTTGCTTAGTAATTCACTTTGTTCTGTCTGCTATTACTTGGAACCACTTTCTGTATTTAATAAAATCACTTTTTACTTAATTAACCCAGAGTATGTAACAAACAAACAAAATCTACATTTGTAAGTTGTGCTTTCACAATAAATAGCTTGCACTACGGTATTTGTATAAGGTGAACTGAAAAATACTATTTCCTTTATTGTTTTTACAGTGCAAATATTTAATAAAAATAATATAAAGTGAGCACTGTACACTTTGTATTCTGTATTGTAATTGAAATAAATATTTGAAAATGTAGAAAAATATCCAAAATATTTAAGAAATTTCAATTGGTATTCTATTGTTTAACAGTGCAATTAAAACGGCCATTAAACACAATTAATCTTTTTGAGTTAATCATGAGTTCACTGCAATTAATCAATAGCCCTAGTAAATAGATTGAGTTCCTTGTACCCATCACTATAAGACAGGTTTTCTAATCCTTTAATATCATTCACGTGACTTTTCTCTGAACCCTCTCCAATTTATCAACATCCTTCTTGAATTGTGGACCTCAAAGCTGGACACTATTCCAGCAGTGGCACCAGTAACAAACACAAAGGCATAACCATCTCTTTACTCCTACTCGAGAATCTCTAGTTTACGCATCCAATGATCATATTTCCCCCTGTGGCCACAGCATTGCATTGGGAGCTCATGTTTAGTTAATTATCCATCATGATCCCCAAATCTTTTTCAGAACCACTTCCCAGGCTAGAGTCCCAGATTCCATAAGTATGGCTTACATTCTTTGTTCCTAGACATATGTTTACATTTAGCCACATTAAAACACATTACTTGTGCTCTGCTTACCAAACAATCCAAGCCTCTACCAGTGACCTGTCCACTCCCCGAATTTGTCTCATCTGCAAACTCTATCAATAATGATTTTGTGTTTTCTTCCAGATCATTGATGAAAATGTTAAATAGCATAGGGCCAAGAACTGATCCCAGTTGGACCCCCCCCAGAAACAGACATTCAATGATGATTTCCTATTTACAATTACATTTCGAGACCCAGAGTTTGCCAGTTTTTAAATCTATTCAACGTGTATGCCATGTTGATTTTGTACCCTTCTACTTTTTTAATCCACTTTTCTAAACAAAGTAGTAAAATCTATACAACCCCTTCACTGGATGTAGTTATACCGGTATAAAGATGCCTTATACTGGTATAGCTTATTTGACACGTGATACTTTGGAAACACTGAATATTCAAAGGCTACTGCTAGGGCCCTACTAAATTCACATCCGTGAAAAACGTGTCAGGGACCGTGAAAGCTGGTCTCCTCTGAGAAATGTGGCTATTGTAGAGGGTTCATAGTATTGCCATCCTTACTTCTGTGCTTCCTTCAGAGTTTGGTGTCTGCTGGGCTGCTCTGAAGGCAGCGCCACCGCCAGCAGCAGTGCAGAATTAAGGATGGCAATACCACAACTCCATCCCCAACAATGACCTTCTGACCCCTCACAGCCTCCTTTTGGGTTGGGACCCCCACTGTTACAGCACCAGTAACTTTCAGATTTAAATATGCGAAACCACAAAATTTAAGATTTTTTAAATCCTATGACCGTGAAATTTACCAAAATGGACCATGAATTTGGTAGGGCCCTATCTATTGCATTGAGATGTGACAGATGTTATGGGCACATGGAATACTCAAAAACAGCTGCATCAATTTTAAAATGTTATTTGTATTCCTGACTCAACAGGTGAACTAAAGGGTTTTCTGCAAGAACTGAAGTCACTGAGGAATAATTGATGCTAATCCTCACCGGTGAAACAACAAGTAACAAGTCTGTGGAAGTTTCGTCCCCATCTCCCTCAAGGGAAGTAACATATACTGGTTTGAGCTGGTAAGAGGCCTGGGAGACAAAGAACTTAAAATGGTATAAAATATCAGCCATGAACAGAGGAGTCACTCACACTCAAACCAAGAACAAACATGAGACTGTGAACAAGAGAGGCAGGCCCTGCAGAAAAGGCCTAAAGTACATTAGTCCTATTAGGGTCCCTATGTGGGAGATTAACTGACCAGGCAGTCACCAGACATGCATATAAGATGTTTTCTTTGTAATGCTTTTATTCTGAATAAACAGCACTTTTTATGAGAGCTGTCTGATCACCGGTTAACCCTGTCATTGTCCCTGAAACAGGACTGCAGGTGCTGAATTAAAGTCACACCTGATGAGATAATCACAATAAATTGCAGAAACTTGCAGCTTAAGTCCCCAGTCTGGGAAGAAAGGATCATGGGATCCCATCCTGCGACAGGTCTCAGGCCTCTATCCGTCCCTAAGTGGAGTGCCCTCAGGGATACCAGGAAGCGGTCAGAGGTGCAGTTAACTGGAAGTGTGACAGCTTGTTCCTCTAAATTTACTGGAATAAGCTATACCAGCATAACTGCATCGACACGTAGGGGGTTGCAGCACTTTAACTATACCACTATAGTAAAAGTGATACAACTTTTGTGCACAGACAAGGCTTTAGTGTACATGGAGAATGGCGCCTGATATTCTTTGACAACTGTATCCCCCTCCCAAAACACTTAAGACAGCTCACTATACAGTGGTTGTACTTACCTGCGTGCCAACTGTGATATTTGGCATTGAAGAGATGCCAGCACTAGACTTGGGCTTTTTATTTTTTGCTCTGGCCTTTTCTAGCATCTTCTTCCTTTGGCTAAAAGGAACTACTCCCCTAAGGAAAGAAAACAAATTATTAAACCAAGAACTACAAAAGAAGTGTCTTGAGCTTCTCAAGTCTACAACTTAGGGCTTGTCTACATTAGCAAGTTTTGTCGCCAAAAACTGCCTTTTGGTGACAAAACAGCAAGAGCATAAACACGACAATGGGATTTTTCTTATGAAAAACGCCCACTTTTGTCGACAATAAACTTCCACCCCATGAGAGACTTTTGTCTTTTCCCCTCCCTTTATTGTCGACAAAGAGCCAGTGTAGACACTGCTGATTGTTTCGGTAACAGAAATTAGGGTGACCAGATGTCCCGATTTTATAGGGACAGTCCTGATATTTGGGTCTTTTCTTCTATCGGTTATTACCCCCCACCCCCATCCCGATTTTTCACATTTGCTGTCTGGTCACCCTAACAGAACTGATTTCTGCCAGTATCCCACAATGCCTGCCCTGACTGCTCTGCTCAGTGTTTTGATCTCTGCTGCCCTGCAGGCATGTGCCCCTCCCCTTTCAAAGCTCCTGAAAGTATCTGTGTGCTGCTCCAGTTGGGGAACAAAGAGCAAATCATTGGAATGCTCCTGTTCTGCCCTGCACTAGGAACACAGCAGCAGGCAGACTGCTGCTGAAGGGGGAGTAGAACAGAGCTGCTATGATGCTGCTCTCCACAGCTGAGGGGGCTGTGAAAGAACTTGGAGAAAATCCCAAGATGCGGGGCGATCAGCTCTTCCTTCCCACAACACTGCATTGTGGGATACATACCCACGGTGCATTGCTCACCCTGTTGATGATGGTGTCCCCAATGTGGACATGATCTGTCAGAGGTAGCAAATACCCTTTGGCGTTTTTTGTTTAGTCGACTTTTGGGTGTCAACATAAGTTCGGTCAACAAAACTTGGTAGTGTATAAACAAGCCCTTAAATGGAAGGCATGGTAAAACACAACTCTGCCAAAAGCCCTCAGCAAAAGTGACATCTTGCTGTCCCATATTCACTCCACCTCACTCTCAAACACTCTTATATCAAAATGCTCACTTTACAAATAATTTTTTTTTAAACTGCCTGTACTGAAAACTCAACATGCTATTTAAAAATCTAAACTTTTTGTCCTGCTTTCTATACCACAATATAGAATATAGAATCAAACTCACTTTGCAATTCTGCTAAAGAAACAAGGAAGGAACACCACTTGCAGTGCCTTCAATGTTTAATGCAGATATAATTTGCACTATACAGAGATACATTCAGGAAAAAGAGGCCGATTTCAAGTCATCTGATCATAATGGCATTTTGGATCTAGCTCAACAAAAGAACAAGGTGAAGTTGTTTAAATATATTTTAAAATACTACATTGTCACACCAGCCTGACAACTCAGCAGATGGAAGATGTGAAGCCATTCAAGAGATTGAGGATGAGAAGCAATTACAATATTCTCCCCACTGGAACTCTACGTAAACACCACAAGAGCTTTTTGTATATGGGTTTTTAGTGCTCTACTCTGTACTCAAAGCCAGGATCAGCTCTGGATAGTAGCAAGGATACATGCACCAAGGGTAAATCAGGTAACAAGTACAACTTGAAACAATTTTCTTGAAATGCAAAAACAATTAACTTGCAAATACCAACTCTCTTTGGCAATCAGTCCCTAAACATACTGAGGCTGTCCTCACCATGACTGGCAACAATTCCCAAAGCCCACAGCCTTTTCTTTACTGGAGAAAAGAGTGGTGTTGTGAGATTGTATTTTTTTTAAAGCACGGGTTAAACAACACTTTGTCCTGGTGTGGCCATGGCCTAAGTGTGATTTCCAAGTCATCATATTTTTTCCTCATCTAGATACTTTCTCCCCCCCCCCAAAGGAGTTAGGATTTTCATTTGAGTTGTAGCTGGATCAATCTAACACCCTTACCTTGATTTTAGCAAGTCAAGTTATAACCTTAGACTATAAAGCTAGAGCTGGTTAACTGTGTGTACACTGATACAAAGTGTGGTTTTCAAAGAGTTAAGCCAATTTTATTTAGATAATATGATTTACATAGAAGACACCTTTATACCATAGCCTAGCCACAGTATAAACAGCATGAGATGCTCTCTACCATGCCTGTCAGCAATTTCGATTTTTTTGGAAAAAGACTTATGATTAATAGACACTTATGACTAGGGTGACCAGATGTCCCGATTTTATAGGGACAGTCCCGATTTTTGGGTCTTTTTCTTATAAAATTTGTTAGTCTCTAAGGTGCCACAAGTACTCCTGTTCTTCTTTCTTATATAGGCTCCTGTTATCCCCCACCCTTGTCCCGATTTTTCACATTTGCTGTCTGGTCACCCTACTTATGACTCCATAATCAGATGACAAATACATGGTTATCAATATTCAAGTTAAACATACCTAAGTAGTGATGGGCCCTGCAGGATAATTAAATTTATAGTTAATTTTTCAAAAGTATACCAAACAACCTCTTAAATACAATGGGCTGATTATTCAAAAAAGATAAGGCATGCAAAAGTTTACAGTATTCAGGTCCCCCCAAAGTTGTGGTTTACTGGTTGCCATGCTGAATGATGCTCTAGAATGAACTGTGTTCACGATGACATTACTAAACAGTTGGTTTTACACTCAAGAGAAAAAAAAATCAGAAAGTTGTGATTTCTACCACCGCTCTGCCGCAAATTTCAAAATTAGGAGTAAAACACGGTTTCCTCATATATTTGGCTGCGATTTTGTTTGGGGGTATTTGCTAAAGATTGACCAGAAGCCAATCAGAAAGATATTTAGTATCTCAAACTTTCAGTGCTTGCAAATAATTGGTCAGTGAGTATTAACTCCAGTATAACAAAAGCTACTTGAGATCCCTGCCACTGTAAGCAAGTCTTGTTTAGATTTTGCATAACTCTTAAGTGAAGCACAGATAAAACAGGGTGGGCACTGATATGCATGTCAACTCATTGTAATTAGAAATGTATTTTCATTTTTTTACATGCTTGGAAAAATCATCAACTTCTACCTTTTTATGTCCAGAAAACTTGACATTTTAAAAACTCAATGAAGTTTTACAAATAGAAATGTTTTAACAATGTTTCAGCAATTTATGGGGGGTTATTTCATCCAATTTTTCAGCATGCATTTAAGCCAGCAATATAGTTTGTGAATCAAACTGACTAACATTCTAGCCACAGAGCACTACGGGAGAAAAAATGAACCATACACAGGTAAGTTTGTTTTCTATATTATTTGAAAAGGCCTGAAAGGTACAACATATATTAAAACTACTTTGTGAAACTATGTAACGCCGGGGGAAAACACTCAGCCAACAAGCATTTATTTTCCCTATAAGAACAACTCTATTATCTGGATCTGCAGATGACAACCCAACTTGACAAGACAATTTTCTTCATTATCTATATTGCACAGTCTCAGTCTAATGTCCTAAATTGTGTAGCTCTTAGTAAGGCTTTCATACTCTATGCAGTCAGTCATCAGAATCCAATGATGAAAGTATATCTTTATAGGCATGTCTAGAACCTGGACACCTCAGTCAGTGGCACCTCATTGTATTATATAGCTGCTCCTCAGCTACAATACAAAAGTGGTATCAGTTTTACAGCGTTCATTATGTTTCACAGCACGATTAGCAAAACCAGTCTATAATAATTTTTTGTATCAACTTTTCTATCACTATCCTATCTGAATACTAATGAATTTAACATCAAAGTATCACAGTATCCCATTTTACAAAATAAAAAAAAAGACAATTTCAATTACTTCCTCAAGGTCACACAGGAAGTTTGTGGCAGAGCCAGGAATAAAACCCAGATCTTTTTATTCCCGCCAGGTCCAATGCTTTAGGTACAATATCTTTCCTCTTTTGTAATCAGAGTGTGCAATAATTCAAATACTTCCCTCAAGGATAGTATAAGCCACGAAAGTGGAGTGACAGAACTTCATCACTAGAACTATAACATGAAGTTTCTTTGCAGTGCACGTCATTATAATGGGTTTGCAGATACTTTTGGACTAATTATTCAATACCATATATACTTACCACCAGTATAAGTTGTTCTCTAGCTGAGCACAGGTATAAAGAGCGCAACAGTGTAATGAAACTATCCGTTCTCCCTGCAGCTCTGAGTAGGTCTGTGCAGTGTGTTCCAATTTAGAAGCTACAGAGCTTAGAGTTTCATCCACCCAGGTAGCAACCTAAAAGGAAGGGGAGGGGGAAAAAACAACACTGCATCCTAAACAAACTCTTTACATTTTTCAGGATAATCAGTTTGGGGAAAGTATCAGCACCCCAACCTTCACTCCAGTTTTAGAACTGGCCCTTTAAAGTTTTGATCTATCTGGATAATTTTCCCTTCCAGTTCTGGTCTCAGCCAGAAAATGAAAGTACCAAAACACTGAAGGGGTATTGCTGTCAAAGGATTTCATCAAATTTGGATATTTACCCAAACCGCATTTGAACTCTATACCTTTTGGGATTCATCTATTATTGGTCAAAACAAACTTACTGTTTTACTGTATTTGGAGCTCAAAAATCTTTACATCCTTAATATTTTTTGCTACAACTCCAACTCCATTCCAGAATTAGGCCTCTCTAACCTTAGATTTCAGGGCAGCAATAAAAAATTAACAGTTTTTGGCAATTTGATAAGATGGACAGCCTTTCATTGCGTAAGAGTCCCTGGAGGTTGGCACTACCTTTTAATCTTTGCTCACAGAAAGACCTCAGAACTGCTTTTGATTTAAATTGCTATAGTACAAAAGAAGACAATTATGAAAGCTGAACCTGTCAACAAAGATTATTCAATATGATCTTTATAATGAAATTAATTTATACTACTGACTTATAGCTGCAGACTTTGGTTTACTTATTCTTCATAGAGCAAAATAGCGGCTGAAAAAACCCCAGAAGTTTAATCATGAACTCAACAACAAAGAAAAGAATCTCATACCTTGTTATTTTCTGTGGCTACAGTTGCTCTGATACTATTTGCAGAAAGGAGCACTATCTTTTCATTGGTTAACCCCAAAAACATTGCTCGTGGATGATGTAATGAAGGATTCTTTGAAAGCATAAAAGAGGTTATTATTTTATAAAAATTCATACATACAGAATTATTTTAACGATAGATTTAAGGATGTACAGTACCTGTGCATTTCTATAAGGCTCTGATTCACTCCATTTCCACTGATAAAGTTCCCCTTTACTGCTAACTGCCACAAGCTCAGAATACAGAGCTCCAATAGAAATAAACTTTGTTCCATCCTACAAATGAAAAAGATGAAGTCTAAAATGGCAGTGCTATAAACTAAAACCTTTTGAGTAACAGCAGATTTTAATAAACATAACAAATGTCAAGTTTGCAAAATAGAGCTTATAATGGCTACCGAAATTTTAATCAAGACATCTGTACTATTAGAGTTCCATTGAATTTAAAATTCAGTAGTAAAAAAATTATCTAATGTGTTGCCTGAAGCTGATCATGCTTTCAGAAACAAATAATGAAATATTCAAGATCTTTTATTCAGGAAGTTATTTTCCTTCAGTTCAGTAATATCACAATTTGCCAATCACATTCAAAAAAATTCAATTCACAGCCACAAAATATTTATGACCATGTGGTTTTTGGCTTAAAGGCTTGGTCCCCACTAACCCCCCACTTCGGACTAAGGTACGCAAATTCAGCTACGTGAATTCGAAGTACCTTAGTCCGAACTTACCGCGGGTCCAGACGCGGCAGGGAAGCTAAACCAAGCGCGATAAATCGATCCCAGAACATCAATTGCCTGCCGCCGGACCCTCCGGTAAGTGTAGACGTACCCAAAGATACAAAAGGAAGGATATTTAAATGTTACAGATAAATTCTGCCCCTAATAGGACACTTATCAGTTTGGAAAAGTCCCATGTCCATGTGGAAATTTTTGCACCCATTACTGTTATCAGTGACTACTAAAAATACCATAACCACAAGATTTGAGAAAAATATATTTGAAGTCTCTTTTACATTATATATTTGACAGCACCTTTGTGGACAGTCAATTACATTTTTGGTGATGGAAAGTGCCTTTCTTCACACCTTGCTGGAGTATGGTGATGAGTAACGGGAAGAGAGCTGAATGGACAAGTAGCAGGCAGATGTGCGTACACAGAAAAGGGGAGCTGGAAACGAGTCTCTCACCCTTCTACAAGTTTGCCTGCATCTGTATTTATTTTTAAAGTTTTTTTTTAATTCAAAATATATCATTTAAAGGGTGATAATTTATTATCTTAAAAAAATTCTTGAAGACCCACCCAAGTTGTCAGTGTTCCCTTAATTTTAAATTCTATTATTGTCTCAGTACCACAACCCAGTATGTGCACCTTTACATACTATTACTTAAAGGTGCTGTTCTTATCCAGTTTAGCCCTATTTTCTTTAGTTTGCCAAGGCTCCCTCTTTTGGGACTGAAATTTTCATGTTCTGTCTCATCCCTGAGAATTTTTATTTGTATTTTAAGTTTAAGTTTCAGCAAAATGTGTTTGGCTATTTTAAAATTATACAAGCATGGCTAGGGAGGGAGGGAGGGAGGGAAAGGGGCCAAGATATCCTATCTTACTAATTTTTTTGTTGTTGTTGTTAAAAGTCAAAATATTTTAAGCAAGAAAACATCATACTTGACTTTTACATAGCTCAAGGTGTAAGGTTCAAGACATTAGAAGAAAGACATTCAGCAGTTTTAAAGTAATAGACATTTTAGGACTTGGATCCCGCAGTCAAAGCCACATGGGTAGACTTCTGTGTCCAAACAGATCCCCAGTGTCTTGAAAGAGAACTCCATGCAGGTAAAGAAGACCTGCCTATGCAGATCTGACTACAGGATTATGGCATTAATTTGTCAATTTCATGCACAGGGTGATAGAATTTAAAAAAAACAGCAGTGGGATTTAAGACCTTTTCAGTTCAGGATAGTCTTCCAACTTTAAAATTAAGATTAATTTTCTTTGATTTAGCTTGTTTTGCAAAACTAAGGTTTTAAACATCAAACCAGGTTTTGGTTTGGGGTTTTTTGGGAGAGGGGGTTGGCATTTTGAGGACAGGTTGATTTTATTATTAAATTGGTTCTGATGGTTTAAAATTATAAAAGTTTTAAAATAAGTTCCTCAACTGGAAAATCAGTTCTTCCAAAAATTTTCAAGATGGAGCCATTTCTTAATGAGGCTATTTTAGCAGGCAAACTGAGTAGCTCAGATTTCTTTCTCTCTCTCTCTAAAGAATTTTCCCCACTCCCCAAAGAGCAAATACAACAATAAGGATGAGGGAGTCAGAGGTTAAGGCTGGACATTAAAGCCATCACACTTCCCCTTTTTGCATATGCTTTAAAAGTTGCATCTTTATAGTATTATATACATTTATGAATACATAAATATAAATAAAAGTGCATTTCGCATGATGTAGACAATATGTATAGTAATATACTATTATGTAACACAGATTCAGCAGATAATCTGATCTTTTTTTCCCCATTATATGAAAAACCAAAAATTCTTCCAAAAGATCAGATGGTTTCTTTCACTGGATACTGACTGCAAATCAACTGCCATGTTGTGAGTTCCTATATCCATTTAGGTTCTAGTAGTTTAAAAATATTAGGTTTTTTTTGCCCCCAGGACATTCAAGCACATTAAATTGCCAGAGGAATTGTTTATAAACACGCAAGTGTATAAAATGAGCACTGAGCAACAATACACTCTTACCTTCATAACTCATCCTTAATTTTGTGCATTGTTCCTCAAATGAATGTTTTAAAATCCTTAGGGAAGAAATGTCTAAAACGTGTTTTGTGATGTGCCCTTACACACACAGGAAACCATAAGTAACATGGTATAATAATGTCATTTATAAAATGTAGATGAAACATTTATAAATATTGCAAGGTTTAGAGACCTTCAAGGTGTGTGTATATATATATACTCTTTGTATTTAAACACTCATGCTGTGGCTAGAGAAGCCACCATATTATGTAGGTTAGACCCAGAACCAGACAAGAACAGAACTTTTAAATGTACCTATATTGCTGGTAGTATATGTTTTTTTAATTCATGCTTCCCAAAATGTTTATGGATAGTTTTCATTCATGTGAAACAAAAAACTGCAAGAGCTATTTATCTAATATCATTACAAAAATTGCTTAAAAAAAAAAGATAGCAATCTATATGAAATTATAAATGTAACTATGAAATACAAACAGAGGCTCAAATATCCACTCCAAGATGACTCTGGATTAATGAAATATTGCATGCTATGTTGACTTAAGATAAGCTTCCTCAAAAATAGTAAATACGTTTCACCTTTTGTGATAATTGTATTAAAAACAAGACATTTACAATAGCTGAGTGTGAAGTATTTACTAGAATATGCATATGACATGAGCAGTAAATGTTTTACTAGTTAAAGATTTATTTTACAAATTCATCTTATATAGCAATACCAAAATACGTTAAGGTATTATTCAGTAACAAATTTAACTAGGAAGTATACACATACAGCATTGTATGAGAGGATATAACATGAATTATAGTATTCTTTATACAGAAAAGAGCAACCCAAGAACAACTAGGTAGATGGTGAGTTATTATCACTACTACTGAATGGCTACCAGAGTGCTGCAGAGAAAAATAATTCCATTTACTGGAGGATTTGGGTATTCTGAAAGTTGCTTTTGCTCTGATTTGGAATGAAAACAGAAAACTGAAATTCTCTGCAAAATGGAAAGCCCAGGGACAATCTGATCGGCTGGCTGCCCAGGAGCTGTGGACTCTCGACACCTGGGAGTCTGGGCTGCCAAGGAGCCACACCACTCAGGACTTCCATGCTCCTTGTCAGCCCACCTCTGAGCTCTAGAGGAGCAAGAAGCCTGGAAGCCTTGCTTCATGGTAACCCAACAGATGAGATTTAAAGGGGAGCCCTGGTTCCTCATCAGGCAGACTGCCGAGGAGCCATGTGAGTAAGCTGGCAGGAAAACATAGGATTCCATTGGAATCCTGCTTGCGTCTCATAAAAAATGAATAGTCTCTAATTTAGATGAATTAGCATTCTCTGACAAACACATTCCACTGGCAAATTTCCAACAACCTCTGACAGCTACGAATTGGGTACACCTTATATTTATTACCCTGTCACCTTCACTCCCTATACCCCAGCCTATACCTTCACTCCCTATACCCCAGCCTGCTTGTTTGTCTCATCCATCTGTCATGTCCTGTCTTTTATACTGCAAGCTCCCTGAAGGAGGGACTCAAGTTCATTAAAAGATTGGACAGCAAAACAGAATGGAACACCAATTCGTTGTGGCCTTCAGGTGCTACCGCAATCTAAATGTAAGTAATAAAATATTAGGCCTGTACGGAATCCCAGTGATTTTATATTATTTTCTAAATATTTTGTCTATATGAGCTACATGACTTTCTTCATCCCACTGTTAAGACAAGTCAGAGGGCCAAAAGCACTGATTTAACAATTCAGAGTTACATGTTTAGGTTGTACTTTAGAATTCCAGGCATGGGTTGAAATGCACTTATTCAAACATGAACAGTTTTTCCAAGTATCCACACTGTTCAGCCTAAGTACCAGGATGGAGGAAGTGGTAGTCAAGGTCAGCAGATAGAGATGGAAAGTGACAAACCTCTGCAAGCTCTTTACCTTGCCCTGGCAAGAGGGAAAATAAACCAGAGAAGTGGGAAGCCCCAAAATAGATTAAAAACTGCTGAGCTAGGAAGACAGGAGAGAATGGGTAAAGGAAGAAGAAAGACTGAAATTGCAGACTGACACAGAGCTGTTGAATAGCCTGGAAGCAGCCGGTCGGCAGGAACACTCTCAACCTTGTGGAATCTAACGGGGCCTCAATTAACTCAATTTTTTGAGTGGGAGCCAAGGTTGACTTTGCGGTGTTTAAAATGAGTCCCAGACAGTCGAGCAAATGCAACATGGTGTTGACGTGGGTGAAAAGCTCCTCTCTGGAGCCACCTTCAGCAACCACTAGTAAAATGTCCAACTGTTTGTGCGTGTTCTCTTGGAGGAACTCTGCTTGGATGCCCATGGATGCAGCTACGTGACATAAAAGATAAAAGAACAGGACTATGAACCAGTCAGCACAGCATCATCCGGCTATGAGGACGAAGGTCTTGGGTGAGCCAAAACCGTCTCCTCCCCCCTCCCTCCCCGAAAAAGTACCCAGGAGGGAAGACTGCCAGTTCTGCAGGAAGGAAGACCAGTGATGCCAGGACTTGTGGTGGAGCTGAAACCTCCACCATCAACCTATCAGGTGACTTTGGCGTCAAAACAGAACAAAGAGCAGTACAAAGGTTGGGCACTGGTGACCAGTAAGGGCTGGGCCACGGACCTCTATCCCAGCCACGAGGCACACACCAATTGTGGGAGACATAGTGATCCACTGGCGGCTCCCAGAGTTCATCGGGTGATGTGGAGCGGGCAGAGGATGCCTCCAACTCTGAATCAGAGCCTTGGGATCTCAGTGACATGGGCAGAGCAACCCCAACTGAGCCAGCAGGAGGTCAAATTCATTCATCGCCCAGAATCATCATCATCTCTGATTAAAGCAGTACCATCGGTACAGAGCATGCCGGTGCCACAGGCAGCATTGGTCCCAGTGCAAACAACAGTAGGGGAGTGCTCTAATACATTGACATCAAAGGTGGTGAGAGCCGCTATGGAAGCACTTCTGGCATCAAATGCAGCAGGGCTAAAGAGGGTCCCAAGGCCGAGGTCTCCGCACGATTCTGGTACTGTCTCTATCCCCACCATAGGGAGGGGAGCATCTGGATGCAGTGCTGACCGACATGAAGGTTCAGCAGCTCACTCCCATTAGAGGGGTTATAGCCCAGGGAAAGTCCTGGACCAACAGTGAGGTTGGGACCAAAAGGTAGAGGAGGTCTGCAGCTGTCATAAGTGTACCAGGCATCGACACATTCGGTACTGGTATCTCCCTCATTGGTACTGAACTCAGCAGATGCCCAGAGGCCACAACCAGAGTCAACAATATGGGGTTTATGCTCTTCCCACTCAGTAATAGGGAAGCGTCAGAAGTACCCCTGCCATTCTGGTGGTAGAACCGTTCCGTGCTGGTCCACGTTTTTCCTTGGGAAGGCGGAGTCGCCCTGCGATCTGGAGAGGTCCTGAATGGTCTTATGAGACCTCTTCCTTGGCACCGATGACCGAGAACAGCTTCTCCACCTCTCTGGCAAGGCGCCTACCCTGGAACGAGGGGCAACAGTGCTCTCCGAGCCAGAGGGTGATCTCTGGCCTAACAGGGCCTTGGTATCAGATCAGGCCGCATGGCCTGTTCAAGTAGGGGCTGCTTGAGGCTAAGGTCCTGCGCCACCTGAGTCCTCTTTTTAAATGATTTACAAATCTAACAGTGCTCTTTAAGGGGTGCTTCGCCGAGACGAAGTGGGGGTCACTGTGGGGATCACACCTACACACGAAGAACAGTGTTTTACTCCAGTGAGGGCTTCACCAGAGACACTATCAACTAACACTAACTACTAACTAACTTACTATATACAATAAACTAGGCTAAGACTAAATAAGAGGTTGTGAGACTACAACCACACAAAGCTCTGGCTCCAGCCATGGGCTGTGAGAAGAAACCGAAGGGGATCAGGACAGCACTGTCTCATAGCCAGGGGAGGGACCACAGCCATGAGCACTGTACAGCTAAGAAAAAGGTCTCCAGCTTCAGTGCACTGGGCACACACACACCTAGGTGGAATACACACACTGCATCTACTCGAAGAATACCTGAAATGTTAGCCTGGGCTCCTATGGAGATGGAATAAAGGGGTGCAGGTGGATCCATCTACCACAGCCAGACGGATACTTCATTACTATTTGTGCACCTCTTGATCTTCACTTATTTAAATAACCAAGCATGACAAAACAGGATAAATATTAACAAAATTGAAAAAACTGAACTAATCAAAATACAAGCCTCTTTTAAAGGAGCTGGACATGAATATGACCATTCAGTCCAATGCATAAGTGCAACTCAACAGGAAACGGGAAATTGTTTCATGGAAGAGAGAGCTTAAGTTCTTTGAGATTTCTCTGGTTGTTGCCTGCATAAGTGGCAGCCACACAGATGAAATAGGTCAGAATACAAATGGCAATTGAACCTCAGTTTTAAGGGCATGAATAGCAATAATATAAACAAAACTAAACCAGCGCATTAGGAATCATTTTACTTCAATATCACATTTACAAAAAAAAAATCAAGATTTCTCCAGGGAAATCAGAAGTACAGACATTTCTATGGAAAAATAAGATCAGTTGCATGCAATGTACTAAGCATATAAAGGAGCCAAAAAAATTCTCAATACCTTATCTGGCCACCATTGCAAGTCTTCTCCTAACGAGACTGGGCTTTGAACAGGTGTATTCTTCTTATCCAGGTTTGGCTCCCCTTCCTTGCTTGTAGAGCCCCTTTCATTATCAAATGAGGCTCCATCAAGCCACCTTCGTTCACGCAAACGTAAAACGGACTCTCGTTCACGCAACAGCTCAGAGTCTCTCTCTAAGGGAAGAAGGAGAACTGGTATGCAATTGGGTCACACCAGTGGGATAAAAGTAAGCCACTCTCTAGTAAAGACCCTTCAGGATGCAACTAACAGCAGTTAAATCTATTCACAAAAATTTAAAATACTGATATATAAAAAAATCCTGACATGCAACATTCAATATATTAACCCTTTCAAGCACATGTACTTATTACTAGAATATAAAACATATCAGTGATAAACTAGAAATAAAGTTATTTCTAGAAATAAGAAAAATCAGGTAGTTTGTACACTACTGAAAGCATAACGTTTTATTTTTTACTCAGAGTGGTAAAAAGCCACAATGTGTTTAACAAGGTTATTTAAGGTTTTATAGTACGATATGCCCTGAAGTTTTACCATATGATGGTTTTTCTAATAACAAAAACATCTAATTAATCTACAACGTCTGTTAGATACATTTAAGCAAGCCAAAAAAAGAGTATTTATTAGAGAGTCTCATAACAAGTTTCCCAAAAATAATAACTTGAAAAGGTTAAAGACAAAGCAATCTTTTAAAAAGGCTCTTGTAAAAATTTGATAATACAACCTCTTTTGTTTAAAGCAACATTTTACAGGACTGGATTTAATAAATTAAAGCATATCTGGTGGTGGTTTTGTTGTTGTTGTTTTCTGTTTTGTTTTTTAAGTATTCAAATGAAAACTTTTCAAGAGTCAGACAAGTTTTAAAAAGGATCCTTGTAGGAAAGTGTTCCTTACCAAAATGCTTCCCCTCCAATTGGCCTACAAACTGTCTAAAGCCAGTACTCTGCAGTTCGCTCATGCAGATAAATTTTTTAAATCAGGTAATCAAACTAACTTTCCAAGAGTCAACTATGCATGGAAAATAAGGATTATAAAATTCGTGGTAACGTCTTACATAGAATAAACCTTAGGAAAGGAAAAAAAAGGAGGGATTTAGAAGGAGTTATGTCAAATGTTGAATATTTGTTCATGCACATAATGCATTTAACCCATTAAGTACCTCATTTATGTTCATAAAATTCAATTGGAATTACATGTATGAAATGGTCACACTACTGTATCATCCTTTCAATAAATTCCTCAAAATCTTGGGTCTTTTGCTACACTAGACAAACGGGAACAAGTTTTTACATAAGCCAAACATGACACCTTGCCCTATAGGTAAAGTTCACATAACACTGAACCTGCTCATTAGGAAACATACTGACCCTTGACTGAATTTGTATCAAGCAATTATATGTTCAGCAGTTAATATACTAATGAAGAAAACAGAATTATGAAACAGGTTACAGCTGTACTAAATGAGCAATCATGGCAGAGGTTGGATTAACAGTTTGTAAAATGCTCTGGGCATCTATTGAGTAGAATTATCTTCAAGAAGCTATGAAGAAAAAGCTACAGACTCTATGCCATAAATATTAAGATTTAATATACTTTTCTAAGCATTTGTAATAATTTCCTACTATTAAAGTGTTCATTAACCTTAGACAGTTACTAGCCCATTTCCGAAAAAAGAGCAGTTTAGCTCTCATCTCCCTCCCCTGGATTTAAAATGGCCTTCATTCGTGTATTTGTGTGTCATGGAACAAGTTAACTAGTTAAGAAAATCAGAAGAGCACTGCATACCGAGCAACCTAAACCAAAGAAACTAGCTTTCAGAATGCTGCATGTCATATCAAATGTTAGTATTACTTTTAGATCAGAATTAACATTCTCAATTAGATACATTAAGATAATTAGTAGGCATTTGTGGTTTAAAAATAATTAGTAGGTATTTGTGTTTTTAAAAATTTCATGCAAAATTTCTATAACAAAACTATTAACATTATCAAACTTCAAATTCGCTCTTGTGATTTTTGCAGAACTTACCTGTTCATATTCAAAAAAATTTACTATTGATTTTATCAAAACTATTAGACAATGTTTAACAATCGATTTGTGCACACAAATCAAAGACTAAATAACTAGTGTGTACTACCACTAGCTTTTTGCACAGCAAACTACTTATTACAAAGAAAAAAAAGATGCAAAATTACCTCGGGATGAGCCTAGCCTGGAAAGTGATGAACGCCGAAAGGATGGATAACCAAAGTAACTAATATCTTCTGAAAACATAGCATCAGCATCAATAATGACACTTGGGTGAGCAGAATGTATGTCAGCATCCAGAAGAGACATAAGATCCTCTATAAGAGGAGACAAGGGTCTTAAGTGAATAATCAGCTACTTAAAACATCAACTAGAGAGACCATCACCAAATAAACATCAAAACAAAAAACGTCCTATTTAGAAGTTGAATTTCTGCTCTTCAGATTCACCAGTACAAACCGATGTGCCTCCTATGCACCCACATTTACAATCAAGCACAGTGGTCCAATGTATGCAGCCAATTTTCCCTACAGAAACTGCTCTGTCACTTGTCTAACCAAGTTTTCCGGACAAATCTTACCCCAAAACAAAAAAATTTCCACACCCCAGAAATTCAAACCTTAATCACACACTTGGGAAGAACAAAGCATCAATTAAAATAAACAGCCAAACTCCATAAATTAGTTACCTAGAATTAGAAAAAACTAGTATTGCTATTAGGTAAAAGCTGTCCCTCCAAAGACCCTGCAGCCTTTCCCCTCTGGTGCCAAGCAAAAAGACTATACACATTTCCAAGTGGCTGCCCAGCAAGTTTGCTTCAGAGATTAAGAAATTTCTTCACTCCTGGAAACAGTCGCTGTGCCTTCACAGAATACGCTTTGAGGTTAGGCATAAGGGTCACTATCTATATTAAAAATGAATAAAAGGATGTCTACAAAAAAATAATTTTTATTGTATAGATTTGAAATAGTGACTAAGAGCTAATTTGAAATACCATGGGTCTAATCCCAAATCAAAAAATCTTGGGACCCTAAATAAAGACATTCAATGTTTCCTCTACGAGTCCCTATTATCAAATAAGTCTAATATAAGGCAGGAACACCAAATCCCATAATAAAAAAATACATAGAACTAACATGTCAAACTTAATCACCATGTAATACAATACACCAAGCTTCTTCAGCCATGACCTCTCCTATTATGGAATTTGTAAAGCCTCTAAATTATCATACACCAAAAAAAATGCTGCAACAGTCTAGATTTAGTGGAATTTATTTGAGAGTTAAATAAAAGCAGCTCTGAACCCCGGCTGGCAGATAGTAATTTCTACTTGGACTTTTGGAATTAAGAAGGGTAAACCTAGATGAGAT